CCTGGCAGCAAGGTGGCCGCCACCTCAGAGCTTATTGAAAAGCCAGGTATAAGCCAGCGGTGAAGGGGCAACTGCAGTCTCATGGGAAAGGGGATAGTACTGCCTCGTCCTTCACGCCTATCGAGGTCACGAGTTAACCGCCACTAGTGGCTCTCCGGCATGGCCAGAACACCAGACACACAGAAACCAATCTCATAATTATCTGGCTCTTTGCAGAAATCTAAAATCGTGGCCACATGACATTATATGATTCTCATAACCAGCTATAGAAAACAAAATATTTCACAATGCCTTTTCAGCAATTTTGATTGCTTGGGGAGGAAATTCTAAACAATAATGGTGCATCTTTTGTCGAAATAATGAATGTAATCACTGTAGAGAAGAGTTAAGTAGAAATCATCTGCCTCACAGGCATTTGGAGGGTTGGGAGGCGGAGTATACTGGGATTCTTGGTGGTGAAAAATGAGTACTGGTGAAGGGAAAGGTGTTTGATCATTGTATGACCAAGACTTAAACCTGAAAGCTTAATAACTGTCCCCACAGTGATTCAATAAACAAATATAAGAATAAAAAAATTAAGGTGGAGTTCATGCCCAATTCAATCAACTAATTAGTGGCTGAATAAATAGAAGTACTCCTACAAAAAATATATATATACACAAAAGATATGATAATAGTGTGTCACCAGGTGATATCAATAAAGCTGCAAAAATAATTCTTAAAAATGATTTAAATAGAGTCAAAGAGAGTACAAAGGTTAACTTGCTTGCCTTGCATGCAATCTATCCTAATTCAATCCACAGCACCACATATGATCCCTTGAGAACTAAGGAGTGACCCCTGCATACAGAAACAGAAGTAATCTCTGAGTACTATCAGGCTTGGTTCCAAATGCTCCCCAAAATTTATATTGTAGTTTTAAGGTAAAATAACTGAAAGGAAAAGTCACTAATACTACAGGGTTCACAGGCCTAATTTAGCATAAGAAAGTATTTATGAATACAAATCATAACATATTACACACCTGAATTATAGACACAGTGAATTTTTTAAATAAATAATTTGCAGAATTATCTTATATAAGTATTCAAAGTGAAGTTGAGGATTCCGTTTTGAGTCTATTCTCTCTCCTGCTTTCTTGGAATCTTGAATATTTTCAAAGCAGGAACAAATTGTTGGACAAACAAGTAGATATCTTTTTTTACATATCATCAATTTATTTTTATTTATTTATTTTTAATTTTTATTAGTGAAACACCATGAGGTACAGTTGTAGATTTTTAAATTTTTGTGCTTAGGTTTCAGTTACACAATGATCGAGTACCCATCCCTCCACCAGTGCCCATTCTCCACCACCACTAATCCCAGTATCCCTCCCACCCCCCGATTCCCCCATCCCATCCTGCCTCTGTGGCAGGGCATTTTTGTTGTCTCTCTCCTTTTGGGTGCTGTGGTTTGCAAAAGAGGAATTGAGTGGCAGTCATGTTCGGTCTATAGTCTACTTTCAGCATGCATCTCCCATCCTGGACGGATCTTCCCAATACCCTGTATTTGGTGCTCCCTTCTCTATCTGAGCTGTCTTTACCCCTAGAGTGTGTGGCTGGCCTCCAAGCCATGGAGTAAACCTCCTGGTATTTATCTCAGCTATTTTTGGGTGTTTGTCTACTATTTTGTTACTTTATGTTTCCCAGATGAATGCAACCTTTCTATGTCTGTCCCTCTCTTTCTGACTCATTTCACTTAGCATGATACTTTCCATGTGGTACCAAATAAGTAGATATCTTGAGTGTAGTCTCTTATAGTCTCCCAAAACATTAGCATCAGGAAATCATAATGACTTTAATTTTGGCATAACAGGTATAACATTTTCATAATTGCAGCTCCAAGGTTTTCTCCCACCTTATGGGAAAAATTCCTCCTGGGATATGTAAATCAGTTATTAAGATATTGAAACTCCAGAATCAAGGGGAATCACAGGGCTTTATATTATTATAAAAAAAAGAGAGCGTATTTCTAATGATAATCCAGAAAACTTATATATCCCATTCTATTTGTGATTCGAGGAGATTTAACTACAAATAGACAACTTTGTAAATCCTTCAGTTTCATGACTTCCAAGTTCCATGTTATTCAGATAAACTACTGTCGCTCAGTTGTTCTAAGTCTTACAAACCATATCCCAGGCAATAGAGCAACAAATAGTGCATCTTAAAATTATTTCAATTTGAGCATTTTCTTGGAGGCCCGAGAGATAGTACAATGAGTAGGGCTCTCGCGCTAAACTTGCCTAACCCAGGTTCAATCTCTAGTACCCCATAGGGTCCCCTGAGCTCTGCCAGGAGTGATCCCTGAGTGAAGAGTCAAGAGTAATCCCTGGGATCTGCTGAGTGTGTCCCATATTAGTAGTATGTCTAATGTCAATATATTCTGCTCTACCATTCTCTCTTTCTCCCTATTCTTGTTTACCACTCCTAACCTTTGCAAGGAACTATGTACTTTTCAGTAACTAGGATAATTCAAAAATGATTGACTAGACACATTCTTATACAAATTGTAAGCAGTACCTCCTTCTCCAGTTTCTTTAACTTTATTTAGTTATTACAGTTTAGACACAATTAATATTTATGGTTTTTATGTGCATGGTTGTCAAACCTTACTATCACCTAAGATCCTCCACCAATCTTATGTTACTCCCAATCTGTCTCTTCCTTCCCATCACCACACTCCCATGCCTTGCTTGATATTCTCAATTTTGTAATTCAGGGTCAAAGACTTGTTGTCATTTCACACTAATTATTTCCTTATTTTGTTTCTCTATATACATTCTCAGCAACTACCTCCGCAAGTACAGAAATACTAATTCAAAAATATAGGTGCAGACCTATGTTCCCTGTAGTATATAATTCAATGACCAGGATATGGAAATAACCCAAAGTTCATGACAGATAAACATATATAGAAATTGTGACATATAAGCAATAGAGATTATGCATCAGCTGAAGACAAAATGTAGTCATATTAACCTGGGTGGAACTGGACGGTGTCATGGTAGGTAAAATACATCAGAAGAAGAAAAATACTGCATGATCTCACTCATCTGAAGTATATAGAGAAACAAAACAGTACATCTTTACAACCTTCCACTCCAACCTTCAATATCTTTCCATCAACATTATAATTTTATCTCATAATACAGAAATATAAGAGTTATAAGACAAAATCCTTAATTATTGTCTGAAAAAAATCTTTTCTGTTGGTTTTCATCATATTTGGCAATGTGCTGTATACCTACAATTTGCATTTAAAAATAGAAACTGAATTAGGAATATTACATCAGTATTACTATTTATTGCAAAAAAAGATAGTAGCTGGAAAATATAAAAAGCTTCATAATGTACAGCAATACAGTAAAGGTTCACTGTATCACTGTATCACTGCCATCCCATTGTTCATCGATTTGCTCAAGCAGGCGCCAGTAACGTCTCCATTCGTCCCAGCCCTGAGATTTTAGCAGCCTCTCCGTATCATCTTTCCCAGTGGTGTCATGTTGGAGGCTCTATCAGGGTCAGGGGAATGAGACCCATTATTGTTACTGTTTTTGGCATATCAAATATGACACAGGGAGCTTGCTAGGCTCTGCCGTGACAATAAAGGTTAGGAATATAAACTATTTCATGTGTATTAAATATCAAATACAGAGCAAATAAAAATTTTGTGCATATAAATAATAAGGATCAAAGAAAGAAAAATAACAGCACCAATTACTATGAAAACTTTCAATATAATTTTTGTCTTTTCAGTGGTCAAGAGATAGTAGAGATGTTAAGTCACTTGCCTTACATGCAGCAGACCCGAGTTTGATCACCAGTACCATAAGTGGTTCCCTGAGCACTGCCAGGAGTGACTTCTAAACATAGAGCCAAGAGTAAACCCTGAGAGCACCATCAGGTGTGACCCAAAAGTACACAGACAAAAAACCAAAACTATCCCAGGGCTGGAGCAATAGTACAGCGGGTAGGGCATTTGTATTGCACGCAGCCAACCCAAGTTCGATTCCTAGCATCCCATATGTTCTCCTAAACACTGCCAGGATTACTTGTTAAGTGCAAAGCCAGGAGTAACCCCTGAGCATCACCAGGTGTGACCCCTCCAAAAACAAGCAAAATAAATAAATAAATAAATAAATAAATAAAACTATCTCTTTGTGAATTTGAGTACTTACCTTCTAGAAGACTGGATACAATATAATCTTCTTTACCCTTGTCTTTGATATTACAATAAAGCAAAACTATCGACATTATAAACAAAAAGCAATAAAAATGCAATTAAACACCACTAAATTAGTGACTCCTCCTGATAAACTCATGATGGCACAGAATAAAGTAAATCATATACCTGATTTTGTTCAATTTGGGTATAGGTTCCAGTCATTATGGCATATTTTATAAATAAAAAAAGAATTAAACATTACAATTCAGAAATTATCCTGTGCTGGATTGGCTTTTCTTTCCAATGAAAGGATTCCATATTCTAAGATTAAGATCTTACCAAAGTTGGGGGTCAGAGAAATAGTACAAAAGGTAAGGCACTTGCTCTGCCTATGACCAACTCAGCTTTGATCCCTGGCCTCCCATGTGGTCCTTTAAGCCACTGCCAGCAATGATAAAAGAATAGAGAGCCAGGTGTGGCCCCCAAAATAAAACAAAACAAAACAAATAACTTACCAAAGCTATTTTCTGACCATCTCTAAGTAAGGGAAAGAAATCTTTTCTCCTACTATCATAAATTTATACCTAGAAAAAGTGAAAAATATATGCCAAGGAATAAAATAATTACAAATTGTGTTTCTTCTCAAGACTCATGCCACTGCTCTTAAAGAGGAGTGAATAATAAATTTGTATTAAAGCTTTAACAGAAGAATTAATCCTTGAGATGGTCAAATTTGAAGATTCTTTAGTTACTCAGTCGGACCACTAATGAAGAAATCACAAAATGTACAATTAGGATAAAGCTTTCTTCTTGCACAGGATTTTTCTCAAAGCTTGTTTGACTTCCTTGTTTCTTAAAGAGTAGATTAGAGGATTTAGCATGGGTGTGACCAATATGTAAAATACTGAAGCCACTTTACGAAGTTCAGGGTTACTTGGCGGTGTGAGATACACAAAGGAAACAGTTCCATAGAGCACACTTATAACCCCTAGATGAGAGCTGCAAGTGGAGAAGGCTTTCCTCTTCCCTTCTCTAGAGGGAATCTTCAAGACTGTAGACACAATATATATGTAAGATATTATAATAATCACGACCGTGGGTAAAATTATAATGGCAGCTAAAGTAAGAGATACTACCTTATTGATATAGAGATCAGAACAGGAAATTTTCTCAATTTCATAAGCATCACAGAAGAAGTGATTAATCACTCGGGATGCACAGAAAGATATTGAGAATGTTACACTGACTTGGAGGGTGGAACTAATCCAGCCAAAGAAATAGGAACCAGCAACCAGATGACTGCAAAAGCGTCTTGTCATGTGGATATTATAAAGAAGAGGATTGCAGATGGCAATGAAGCGGTCATAGGCCATGGCTGCCAGGACAAACCCCTCTGTTATAATGAAAAGTGCAAAAAGGAAGCCCTGGAAAACACAACCTGCAAAGGAGATAATCTTTTTCTCAGACAGGAAGCAGGCCATGGCTTTTGGTGCAATAACAGTTGAGTAGAAGAGGTCAATGAAGGAGAGATTGCCTAGAAAGAAATACATTGGTGTGTTCAGCTGGGAGTCAGTGACTATGATTGACATCATACTAATGTTCCCCAAAAGGATCATGATGTAAATTATCAGGAACAGGAAGAAGAGGAGGACATTATATTCTGGACCAACCCTAAACCCTGCAAGAATGAAGTCAGTTACATCTGAGTAGTTTCCCATTCCCTTGTCACCCATGACAAGAGCCTAAGAGTTTTAGAAGACAAGGTTAAAAGTGGAGATTTCTGCCAACATCATAGCATCACAAAATAGCATTTTGTTTTATAAAAGATATGGAAATGTATGGTCTTATTCTCCTTTTTCCACCTAATCTCAGTAGGTAGGATTTCCTATGCCCTTTTATAGAAATGAAATCTGAATTATATAACACTTGTTTATTGCCACACAACATGGAAGCTACCTAATTTATAATAATCCCATATGATTCTCAAAACCCAGTAATTTTTCCTTTATAATAAATGTGACTTACTCTCACAAAATATTATTTCTTTACATATTTTATCTCCTTACTTGATTTACATAGTAAGTTGAATATAGCTAAATGTTTTGAGCACTGTGTATTTGTTCTCATCTTTAATTTTTAATATCAAATTCATTTTAGCCTCAATAAGACTTATGTTTACAATAGAAAAATAAAAATAAATAGTAATTTAAAACTCTCTGAAAAGACATCACATATGTATAAAAGTTTATATTCAAGTCAATTATAAGAACTTAAAATAGATTGCCAAGAAATTTAATTCAATATTTAAATTAAAAATCTTGAGTAATGAATGCATCTTCAGCTTCTTGAAGTTCAAAGATCTCTTGAAGGATCAAGAGGAGAAGTCGATGGATCCTATAAATCTACCAAACAGCCAATTTGATCTTAAAAATCTGTGCAAATAAAAAAAAGAAACTTGAAATAATGCACTGACTAAAATTTTGTTAGGAAAGAAAACTATTAGCTCCAAAAGCTAATTTTTATGCCTGCATTTAAAGAGAGAGAGAGCCATAGACGTACTAAAAATTTCAAAACATTCGTCACTGTTAGCCCTGTTCATTAATCTTATTACTTTAGAAACTTTGTTTTCTCCAGCAGAGACAGAGCCATTTCCTCTTCATTGAGTCCTTAAAACCAATTTTTATTTAGACACACTCAACAGAGGGGAAAACTGCCTCATCAAAAGCAGCAAATAAAGGCTGCAGAGATTGTTCAACAAGTTGAGAGTTTACTTTCCACGCAGAAAACCTGGGTTCGACTGCCAGCACTCCATGGTCTGCTAAGCACACAGAAAGTGAGCTTCAAGTTTGGTGCTAGAGCAACCTCTAAAGGCAGAGCTTGGAGGAGTCCTCAAGCCTGGCTCAAAAATACAAGGAAAATAGAGCAAAATAGAAGCAGCAAATATCTTTTTAAAGTGTTCTTTTTCAATTTTGTATGTATGCCAGAGTCAATATTTTGTCATGGCTATCAGCCTTCCTCAAGCATGTGACCATTCTGTTTTTCGCCCAAATTCTTCAATTCTATTGCCTTCCTCTTCTCATCACTTGATCTTTTTCTCTCCAACCAGTAGTCACTTTTCTTTAAAATATTGGCAACTTGATTTAAAAAAAAAAAAAAAGCTGGTAAAGCCCAGAGATTCAGTGTCATGATTCCTAGACCTCGCCTCTACCCCCAATATTTTCATTACATTTTGATATCAACTAAAATAATATTTATTAAATTTAATTTTTCCAAAAGCACTTTGCTAACTTCCATGAGAAATTTTGTGTTTAAATTTTCTTGCAGAACAGAGACTGAAGATTGAATTATAGTCACTGTAGGATAACACTGTTTTATCTTTCCTGCATAACCTCAGGTAGTTTAGGCATATTGGGTTGTTCCCATCACAGTGCTCCTATTCCTCTGTGATTACTTGTAAATTCTTTCTCTGTGCTCTCTTGACTTGTAAATATTGTTTTTCTCTTCTCCCTAAGTACTTTGCATAGTTTATTCAGAGCAATGTCCTTTTTGAATAGACACAAGAAGACAGTATATACTATGCTTTTGTTACATGACTGTCAGTGATATTTCCCTCCTGGGCATCTGTTCCCTCATCTAAACCTCAGCTGCCTTTACTTCCTAGCGTCCCCAAGAGCAGGGTCCTGATGAGGGACTGGATGGAACCAGGGCAAGCGGAAAGCTATGTGCTACCCTTGCATCCAGATGGGCCTGGCCAAAATGCCATAATGCTTAACTATAAGAGCTTAGTCATGGACAAATGCTGTCATGATCCAAAAAGTAATAACTAGATTTGGACTTTGCTAGGGTTAGGAATGATTAATCTGGCCTGAGTGCTATAGTCTGAGTCTGTGGCAAGATGTTCCCAGGAGAGCTACCCTACAAGCCTCAGTGTTATCTCTTATGTTGTCCATACAAAAATAACTAGTATTGAGATGTTGATAGAGTTATTGGACTGAGGAAAGGAGAAAAACACCTTAGGAGTATTTTGCCCTTGGGAAGTCAGGAAGGGCTTTGGAATACCTCTTAGGTAGTGTTTGCTTTGAATCTGGTGGGCCCTCAGGAAGGGCTTTCTTATGTTGATTTTGCTACCATGCTGGGTGCAATTTTGGCCCAGAGTGCTGGGGAGTTGGACAGATGAGAGAGCTGGAGAGAGATGAGAGAGAGAACAGGGTGGCAAGATGGAGTTCGAAGAGACTAGCAAGGGAGACAGAGAGAGAAGAATGTAGAAGAATATGAAGCAGAAACTTAGAGAGAGAGAGAGAGAGAGAGAGAGAGAGAGAGAGAGAGAGACAGACCAGGCTGCGAGATGGAGCACGGAGAGATGAGCATGAGAGACAGAAGGAGAGGGGAATGAGGGGAGTGTGAGACTAGAATGGGAGGCTCAGAGAGACTGGGGCAGGTTCGTGGGGAGAATGGAATAAAGGACATCTGATCAACCAACCGGCCTGGCCTTTGTTTCTTCCACTGTCTGACCCATGTCTTGGGTTGCCCTGGCTGGGACAGCGGCCTGGGGCCCACCCAGAACACGGGTGGCTAGGGGAAGAGCCTTTGGCGCCTCCCCCGGCCACCCTCAGAGATTTTATACAAGTCACTATTTATCAAATATAGGTATGCAATGGAACAGAAAGTTTAGATATTTTTAGAGAAAAATGTCCAAATTTTTAAAGAAACTAAGACCATAGATAGATAGATAGATAGATAGATAGATAGATAGATAGATAGATCACGATCATCCTGTTGTTCGTCGATTGCCTTGAGCAGGCACCAGTAACGTCTCCTTCGTCCTAGCCCTGAGATTTTAAAGTGCCATATTCAAGGCCCTTTAGGGTTAGGAGAATGAGACTCATCATTGTTACTGGTGTTTGGCATATTGGGTATGCCACGGGGAGTTTGCCAGACTCTGCCGTGTGGGCAGGTTACATTAGGTTGTCCAAAGCAAGAATGAGATAATATATGATATATATATATATATATATATATATATATAGCAAGAGGCAAGATTCTAATAGATAAAGTTCTTTGTTTTATTTATTAACAAAGTTATATCATATAGCACAGCGGTAGGGCGTTTGTCTTGCAAGCGGCCAACATGACCTACCCAAGTTTGATTCCTCTGCCCCTCTCGGAGAGCCCGGCAAACTACTGAGAGTATCTCACCCGCACGGCAAAGCCTGGCAAGCTACTTGTGATGTATTCGATATGCCAAATACAGTAACAATTGTCACAATGGAGACGTTACTGGGCCCGCTCGAGCAAATTGATGAACAACGGGAGGACAGTGACAGTGACAGTGATATCATACTGTCTAAAGTGATATCATCCAGTTTGCTATGACACAAAATCTTTATTTTCAGGTCATTATTAGTTTTCAAGAATAGTTAAAATTGTGGGTCATGTACTATATGTCATCATATAAAGTGAATGAATATTGCTAAAAAGAACTTTGTTCCCAAAAGTAAGTAAAATGCACATGTATTATTTCATTCTTCCTGCCATCAATTTATTCATTTATTATATATAATCAGCTTATTTTCAGTATGTTCTGATTGGCCCTTCAGGGAGAGATACTTTTATACTGCATTTTTTTACTTAATAATATGTAACTTGTAAATTTTATATCTTATTAGAAATTTTTATGTATTAAGAACTCATAAGTACTCATAAAGACCCATTATTTAACTAAAATAAAAATAAAATCACTGCTTACCTGAATGGTTCTTCTTTTTCCTGTGTTAATTTTCTAAAGATTGTTGGAAGGATAAAAAAATTATTGTGCTATTTCTAGAGGGGCAAAAATAGATTGTAAAATTATACAAAGTGAATTAAATACTACATACTTTTAAACTTAGAACTTTATGTAAAATACATTGTTTTAAAATTATTCTATTCTCAGGGCTAGAGCAACAGCACAGAGGGTAGGGAGTTTGCCTTGCACGCAGCTGACCTGGGTTAGATTCCCAGCATCCTATATGGTCCCCTGAACACCACCAGGAGTAATTTCTGAGTGCATGAGCCAGGAGTAACCCCTGTACATCACCGGGTTTGACCCAAAGAGCAAGAAAAATAAATAAATAAATAAATAAATAAATAAAATTATCCTATTCTGTTTAAGGTTATATTTAAATTTTAACAATATTCATTAGTCAATTAAAGATGGATCTTTTTTCCCAAACTCAGTATCTTTTGGTCTCAAATTCCTTTTTGAGGAAAAATAATTGTTTTTCTAGAAATGAGAATATTAAAGAGGTGATCTATCGTGGCCTTTTCCAAATTTTAAACATTTTTTCTAAAAAATTGAAAAGTCAATGTAACTGCACCTGTAGAATCACATTGTATGAACATTCTACTCCAATATTGTGGTATAGTTCTTAGAATAAGAAAGAAAAGCAAAATGGAAATTTAAGTAGGGCTTAAATAAAATCACCAGTGAATAGTAGTAGTCCCTGTTGACCTGCCACATGCAGTAGGAAGAATCCTGGTGCCCTTAATAAGCTTTGTTGCAACTATTTCAGATAATTTCATCATGAATAGCGTGAAAGTTTGTCTCTTTAAGAGAGACCAAGAATAAGATAGTTATGAAGTTATAACAATGGTAAGATCTAGTTTCATGAGGGCCATGTTGGAAGAGATAAACAGAAAGAAACAGAATTGCATTAGTTACCCACCTTGAACTACCTCTGTATCTTTTAAAACA